GATAAAATGGGAAACAAATGCACATTGGAAGCATAAGAGGGAAATTCGGGCAGCCACACGATTACAACATGAACTGGGCCTAAAAAAACAACAGAAGCGAACAAACTCGATCACAATTATTCACAAACGAATGTTAAAGCATAAACATGCATCAAATGAATGCAAAAACTCAAATTTCGAGTTATTTATGGCTAAAAAGAGTTATATTCGAAAATTAGGCGCGAAAATCATCGGAACAAAATCGCACGAAAATTACACGGTTGCCTCTAAACGTATCAACAGACTAAAAAAAGTGTATACCGTGAATTAACTCCAAGCTCAAGCGCTACTTACGAAACCGGACAGCCGTGTACATTTTTGGGCATTTCACCCGAAGTTAAACTCAAACATGAAAAAAAAGGAAATCGAAAGTGCTCAATGGTTCAAGTATTACCGCTTAAAAGTTTTGCACAAGTTGTAAGCAAGAGGAAAGCAATGGTTGTTTTGAATCTGAGCAAAAAAACTAACAATTATGTGTTTATGTAATTTACATCAAATTGAGATTTTATGTGTTGAAGAATTGAATCATTCAACAATTTGGTGTCAAATTACATCAACTCATAAGGTTGCACTAAATTCCAATCAATTCAAGAATGTTCACTTCAACAATTTCTAACAAAAATATGCACCAAAACTCAACCAAAATCAATTTTTATTCCCAAATTATGCTAAAATTCTAATGGTGAACACCAACTCCAAGTTTCTCAACAATTAACCATTCTTTAATTCCAAGAAACAACACTTATGCATTAATTCCAACAAGGCTCTAGCTTATTCCACACTTGGACATCATCCCTTAACTAAATGCAAACTCTAAAATTCAATTTCAACCAAAAATCACTTCTTAGGCATTTTAACAAACACCTAATCTACACCAACATTTCTCACATAAACTTCACAATTCAATACATGATTTATGTCCAAATTTCCAACAATCAATCAACATATAACACTCTAATTATAATTATCATCACAATATTAAATTTCAATTCATAATCAATTCCCAAACACTTTATCTTAATTCAAAAATTCAAGAAAAGTATGAGAAATTACCGAATTAAAGAGAAGAGGAGTTTGGAGAAGAGGAGTATTGACCGAAAATCGTGATTGGAGAGGAGGAGGGAGGCTCAGAAAAACGCACGGAGGAGGAGGGAGTAGAAGAAGATTTACACTTTTTGTGATTTTTATTGAAGGTTAATGAAGATTGTTGGTGTTCTTGATGAAAGTTGAAGAAAAGTTGAGAGAAAAGTTTCTAGATCCTTGAGAGAGTAGAGAGAGAAATTTGAGAGGTTTGGGAGAGTGAGTGTGTTATGAGATAAAATATGATTTTTTTGACATATATAGTGTAGCATAATGGGCCTTGGATTTGAAGTCAGGTTGAGCCTTATTTTGACAATGTTAGCAAATGTGAGTACAAAATGCCACGTTATCAATGGTGCGAAATCTCGACTCGAGCTCATGATGAAAAATAAAGATAATAAAATTTGTGACGTGTTTCCAAAAAAAGAGGCTCAATCGGATGAACAACGAAAAAAGTTATGAATTTTTGAAGATGTGCAGATACTGTCTCAAACAAACTTTATTCCGATTTTCAATTTTTTTACCGTCTCACTTGCAAAGCGGACCATAAACGGAAGCCTTCGGAATACCGTTTGAACTCGAGGTCTGAAGCAAAGTTGAAGCTAACAAAATTTGTGATCCAATGCTTTAAGAACCATCCCGATATGATAAAAATTGAGAGAGTTATGAATTTCTGAACACCGAGAAAATAAACAATTGTCAATCTTTTTCCACTGTAAAAATCTCTGGTAATTTTCACTTTCAGAGACTTTTTGAATAGAATTGGCTCCCATCCCGAACATATGAAATGCAGGAGACATCAAGACGTAATTTATGGCGAAAGAACGACTCTAAAATATTGAACCAGATGAAAGTTATGAATTTTTGAACGTCTGAAAAACAACGGTTCAACACACATTTTCACTATATTTTCCACTATACATCTTCAACGATATGCACATTCGGAGATCCTCTTCAAAGAATTAGCTCTCGACCTGAACACGGAAATCAGAGAAGATATCAAGACGGATTTTATGGAGAAAGAGCCAATCAGATATGCTGATCCGGTCAAAAGATACAAATTTTTAAACATCTGAAACACAACGGACCAGCAAAATCCATATCTGGTTATTAAAATATTCGGTGGCCCTCCTCACAAAATTAGCTTTAGGCCTGAACAGATGAAATGTAGAAAATACCAATATGGACCCAATGTCCAAAGAACCACTAAAAAATCCTTTTCTGATCAGAAGTTATGAATTTATTAAGTCCACCGTGAAATACCGATTTTCTGCTTAAACTGTTTCGCATCGACCGAAACACTTGATTTCCTCTGCCGGTCAAGGCGTGTTGAAATACATGACATCTTGTCATGAAGAGATTGTGTTTGTTCACTAATAAGCGTCATGGAGGATTCTCTGAGCACGTCTACTGACAAAATAAACATCTTCAGTAGCCTGGCGAGTCTTGAAAGAAATACATTGATCCCATAACCATAGAACAATGATATGTATGCATATGATGATGAAATATAAGCCCAATAAAATCAAAATAAAAGGATAAATTTTGGGGTACAATAGTAATATCCTGGATGTTCCCATTAGTGCTAACAAAACTTTCTCTATCTTTTGGTAATGTATTTTAGGTGTAACTAACGCCTTAGATATGAAGTACAATGAGATCTGACAAGAATCTACTTCTCGAATGAGGACACCAATGACTGCTTCGGTAGAGACACCTAAGTAAAGGAACAAAATTTCTTATTTCATTATTCTAGATAACACTAATGGGATTGATATGGTTTTCTTGAGAGATACAATTGCATGCTCGCACTCCAAAGTCCCCTCAAAGCATGCTTCTTTCTCCAATAAATTGTTAAATGGTAATAAGTGTTGAGGCGACCTCGAGATGAATCTAGTTTGGGTTGTGAGCATCCAATTTAATTGCATTACCTCTTTATTTTTTGTTGGTGATCTCATCTTGATGGTCACTTCACATTTATCCAAGTTTGCTTCTATACCTCTTTTGTCAAGTAGAAGCCTATGAATTTGTCGGCTCTTATTCTGAAAGTACATTTCTATGGGTTGAACCTCTCAGAACATGTTCTCTAGATTCTCTTTGTGTAGTCCTTCTTCGATGTACTTGACGATCAAATCATCCATGTAATCTTTCACTTGTCTTCTTTGAAGATTTTGTTCATCATCCTATGGTATGTTGCTCTGGCATTCTTCAAGACAATGGGCATGAATTTGTACCGATAGTTAGATGAAGGTTGTTTTTCCCATGTTTGCTTTGAACATGGGCATCTAGTTATAGCCAGAATACGCGTCCATGAAAGACAATAATTTGTAGTCGGCCAAATTGTCTATTAGCTTGTCAATGTTTAGGAGCAAATATGAATCTTTCAACAGACTCAATTGAGGTCGACATATTCAACGCACATTCTCCATTTGCCCTTTTGTTTCTTGGATAATACATCATTGGATAACCATTCAATAAACCTTACTTCATGAATAAAGTTGGTGTCAAGTAGACATCAAAATGTACTCATAGTTGCTTCTACCTTTTCAGGGGATTGACGTCTTCTTAGTTGCGCCACATAATAGGCGGAGGATTCAATGTTCAATTGGTGGAAAGCCACATTGAGGTCAATGTCGGGCGTCTTGTTGGGAGAAACTATGAAGAAGTTGACATTAGCTTTAAGGCATTCAATGATCCCTTTATGACCACATACGCCAATTCAACCCAAATACATATCGATCTTTTCAAATTAAGTTTAAGTTGTATATCTTCAAAGTTGTTGTATGGAATCAACCACAAGTTTTTCACTTTCACTCCCGACAAAGAATCAAGCCCATCCTTTTAGAGGGTTTAATCTTGAAGAGTCCCGCAATGAATGCTTTTTGTTCTCCACTTTCTTGCTAAATGATCCACCATCGATCAGAGAGACATCAAGGTAAGGAATGATCTTCAAGTCGACAAATATGTGGTGAATTTAACATGTGGATCAGACACCATTGCCTTCTTCAAAGGCATACCAAAACAACGATTTGTGATTGGGATCATATAAGCTGATAATGGAAACTCGTGAATATCAGAAATCGATTCCCACAGGCGACGCCATTGTTTTGTGCTAGAACATAACTATGTGGAGATCGAATGAGATTTGTGATCTGATGAAGTAGAGTGAATTTTTCAATACAGTAGAATAGGAGTGGACCGATAAAATTAACACTCCACGTCCAAGTCATTGAATGAATGTAAAAAAATAATTTGAGTGAATGAATAAAAGAATATTAAAAATAATACGTATTAAACTTTATAAAGTGTGGTTGATTAGAGTCATCTCCATTTGATATGGCTTCTCACAAACGAGCTCATTTGATTATATTTGATTGTATAAATACTCTGACTCATCAATATCTTGGCTCACAAGTGAACCTTATCATGTCTAGACTTTTACTGCCCTTGGGTATGTAGTGGGCCCAATCTAGAAAGAGATGGAAGCTCAAAGACTACCACGGTGGTGTTGGCATACATGCGAGGTCAAGGTTAAAGTGAAGACTTTGTTTAGTGTTTTTTTTTTGTTGACAAAATTGTTTAGTGTTTTTTGTTTTGTTTGAATGAGGTGTCCAATTTCAATCACACTCGAGGCACAAAACGGGAGTTAGTAGAGAGAAGAAAATATCAAAAATTGCATCATCAATTCAATCATAGCAATTGATGACTATCAATTACGCACCTTAATCTAAAAAGTTGATAAAATAAATTCAAGATATAGGGGAGATCGAAGCAGAAACAAACTTTCAAAATTTTATAAATAGTAATTATTCCTCTATTTCAAAATCACATTTATTTTAGAGAGACCTAATAGGAAACATGCAACATCAAAGAAGTGAGGATCAGTTGCTATTTTGATCGGAATTAAATCCATTCAGTATCGGTGGTGGAGTAGAAGGAGAATGATGTTTGTCTTCTATTCCGTTGCCGTTGTTTGGTCCACCACCATCGCCGGACAAAGATGCAAACGCCGTCGCGGATTTGTAGAGACTCTTGAGTACTCTGATCTTTACTAGTCCCCTTCTCGGAGGAAGTTCCATATTTGAGATATGTATGTGCGTGAGAGAGAAGCAATAAAGAGAGATGTGAAAAATGATTGTTGATAATTAGTTGAATGAAGATATATATATTCGATAATGTAGTATGGTATAGGGACTTGTAAGAAACGTGTACTGGTATGTATAAAGAATTAGAAAGGGGACAATGTTGTAAATGCAATGTATAAACAACAATTTGAATTAACAAAAAGGCTTTTTTATTCTATTTATTGTCTTTATATTAAAAATCAATAAAATGTAAATAACAATTTAATACAAATTTCAAATATTAAAAATGCAAATTCAATTAACAATATAAAATAGTAAGAACCAAAAGAAAATACAATAAAAAATAAATGTCATGCAAAAAGGATAAAAAAGTCAATCTTTGACATTTTGACCTTTCCCCTTTATATGCTAATAAAAGAAGTTAAAATGCAACATAAAAGCAAAGCAAATGAACTAGAAATAATAAGCCAACAAAGTCCAACTTTTGATTTTTATTCTACAATATGCTGATGAATGATAATGGTGCAAATAAATTACATCGACTAATGAGAAAATGAAAAAAATATTAAGATTAGTCCTATGCAAATACGAGAGGTCCACATGACCATATGAAATGATCATGCTATACAGATGAATCCATCGATACAAAGTTTAGAGAAAAATTTAGTCATTGACAGGTATCAGTGGTAGTGGTGATGCCGTCACCTAGGCGAAGATGCGTGCCACCATGGACGATCTATGCAGTTATAACCAGATGTTCGAGGATGACATCCACAACACCAGACAACGTCAACGAGAGTTTAATCCTCGAAGGAGATGGAACTATTGGATCCCTAGCCACTCCCAGACGAGATATGGGGGTGCCTGTTCCCGAGAGTTTCAAACCTCCCTCCTTAGCCAAGTATGATGCGTGCAATAATCCCTACGAACACGTCGCCTTTATCACTACATAAGGACCATTATAGGAGCACATGACTTCCTAAAGTGCAAGTTATTATCCGACACCTTCAAGGATGTTGCTCTTCGATGGATTTACCTCGTGCCTCCATCAACAACTATCAGGAACTATTAAATAATTTAATACATCAGCTCCACGCCAATCACCATAAGAAGATGTACACCACAAACATGATTAACATATGCAGGGTCCATCAAAGTCACTGAGGGACTACCTCGCCCATTTTAACAAGGCCACCGTCGAGGTTGTCCCACCGAATCAAGATATATTTATGGTGAAGTTATAAAATGGACTCAAGGAGGGTTTAATGAATCCCTTGCCCAAAAGTTGGCGCTTCTGTTGGTAGAAGTGGTCACCCAAGTAGAGTGCTACATAAAGGGCAAGGAGAGCAACACGAAAAAGAAGGCGCGCGAGGTCAATGAGCGCGTTCTCAACTCCAAAGGATCACATCACCATAGGAACATAAATTATACCTGGCCTACAAATGACATGACTATGTTCAAAAGGGTATGCAAGGTGATAGAGAACTCCATGCCCCTAAATGCTCATCGTGAGTAGATCTGGTGTGATCAGACATGGTCGTGGTGCAAGTTCCATAGAATCAAGGGACAACATGCAAAAGACTTATACCATGTCAAAAAGAAAATCGAGAGACTAATATAGGAGAGACACCTCAAGAAATATGTGAAGGGTGACTCCTCTCGTTCTTTAGACAAGTCTAACCCGCTATAGTGATGACCCTGGAAGCCCCAAACCTAAGAAGGCCAATGAGGAACCTCAAGGAGAAGGTAGTTAATTTGCGCCATACATGCTCAATACCATAACTAGAGGATTCACCAAGGGAGGGGAACCAGCTCCGCCCAAAGAAGGTACGCTTGCCAGATCCCGAGTGTAGGAAACCTCCCTAAGGTCAAGACCAAATGCGAGCACCAAATGGAAGAAGCCACAATTGTCTTCTTTGAGAAAGATACACCTATCAAACACCCTTATAATGACGACCCCATGGTCATTACCGTCAACTGCAAGGTCTGGAAAATCAAAATAGTTCTCGTTCACCTTGGAAGTTCCGCAAACATACTATACTAAGAGGCGTTTAAAAGACTTCACCTCGATCCGGAAGATCTAGAGATTTTTAGAGGATCGTTGGTTGTATTCTCAAGAGAACAAGTACAGGTAAAGGGATCTATCACCTTAACGATCTTTTGGAGAAGAAGATCAGGCTAAAGAGATAAAGGTTATGTATTTGGCTATTACTGCCCCCTCTTTGTATAATATGATTATAGAGAAATTAATATTTAACTGTTGGGTGCCGCCTTGTCCATTCTATATTTATGCATGAAGTACCCTATCCCTAATGTGCAAGTTGGAGTTATACAAGAAGATCAAGAGATCTCTAGGAAGTGTTACATAGAAAGCCTTAAAGAGAAGAGGATATGCATTCTAGGAGGGAAAGCCAGGAGGACGAGTTCATGACTAAAGCCACCAAGGAATTCCACTAGGGCGAGGAGACTTCTTGTCTAGACTCTGACAAGATCAAAGACTGAAAGTCTAGAAGGAATCCCCTCTAGATACATAAACGTATAAGTCGTTTATTTTTATTTATTATTGTTAGATTATTTCATTGAAAATTTTTATAGGCGAGTGTTGCATCTCTATCAATTGAAAAGAATAAGTTATTTTGTGGGGTGCACTCGTTTCCCTATGAGATTTTTCATAGAACGGGGGTTTTTAACGAGCCACCTCACTTCTTTTATTTTAGAATTATGTTTGGATATTCCTTTCGCTGTAGGAAATCTAAAATCTCTTTGAAGAATCACCCATAGAAGCGATCAATTCGATGGATCCTCAAGTGGTATCCTTGCCGCCCATAGAGGTGATCAATTTGTTGGATCCTCAAGTGGGATCCTTTTTGCACATAGAGGCGATCAATTTTTTGTATCCTTATCTGGGATCATTGCCTCTCATAGAGGCGATCGATTTGCTGGGTCTTCAAGTGGGATCCTTTCTACCCAGAGTCCACCAGTTTGATAGATCCTCAAGTGGGATCCTTGCCACCCATAGAGGTGATCAATTCACTCCTCAAGTGGGATTCTTATTGCCCATATTGGAAATTAATTCACTAAATCCTCAAGTGGGATCCTTTTCGTTCATAGAGGCGATCAATTCACTGGATCCTCAAGTGGGATTCTTTTCGCCCATAGAGGTAATCTATTTGCTGGATCCTTAAGTGGGATTTATAGAACCTTGTTTTACAGGTGATATAATTTTAACAAGGACATCTACTTTTGATGATGACAACTAATATATTGTGATAAGTCAAGCATGAAGGGTTTGATGGACTTGACTATCTGATGATGGAAATCAAATGGAATGAAATTAAAGCCTCATATCAAGCATGTATCAAATAGAAAAGTCTTGAAGTTGAGTGGTAATCTCCTAATTTAGTAATAAGTGAACGATTGTAAGGCTAAAGGACTTTATCGTAAAATCGCAAGGCTAAAGTGCATACACACACTAAAATATTTTCAAAATGCTTTACCAAAGGAAAATATTTTGAAAAACATTTGGAAGTTGTGTTAGGTGAATTGGGAGCATTAAAAATAGCTATAGTCGAATTTTTACTTTTCTAATCGGTTAAAGCATTTGTCTAATCGGTTAGAAATGTGCAAACTTAAGACCCAGGCTATTTTAAAAGCTCCTTGATTTTGTGCAATCGATGGATATATTAACCTTCCTTTTTGAGAATTTACAAATGGTTATTTTAACCATCTAATCGATTATGAATATGCTCCAATCAATTAGGTTACTTTAAAACACATTAAATTGAAATTCCTTTTTGACCCAACCTCGTGCCTATAAATAGAGGTTCCATTTCTCATTTCAAACCATCCAAAATCGTGTTTTTACATTTTCATCTTTCACACTCTCTCTCTAAAATTTTTTTTAACTTTCTCTCACTATTGTTTAGCCTAAGTGCTTTTTTGAGAAAAGTCCTTTATTGAGTGAGATGCTTTTGTAATTATAAAAAGGGTATAATTGTAAATTCATCAAGAGAATATTTTTTTTACACCTTGGTTGAATATTATCCATTTAGGGATTTGTTTGGGTTAGAAGCTAAACCTGTGAAAAGCTTGTGTTTGGGATTGTATGTTTCATTCTTGGTTTAGGTTGGAGATCAGTCCATGTTAAAAATCTATTAGGTTCTTGGTCAATCCAGTATTAAAACCAAGATAGGTTGAAGCTTAGCCTGATATTAAAAGCTTCACAGGTTCGAGATCCACCCGGTGTTAAAATCTCACGAGTTATTGGTTATTCCATGTAAAACCATGGTTTTGAGCTTAGAGTTTTTGGAACTTGAAGACTAACCATTATAAGGTCCATGTTTATGGAAATAAGAAACCACTTCAATCCACCATTAGGAAGGAAGATTGGCCATTTCACTCCTGAGTTTATTCTAAAGAAAAGATGCAAATGCCCATTTCTATCATCTTTACTATTTGGTTGAACATCAACCATCATATCCTTGTATAAGGGGGTTCATGAGTTTTTCCTTTTAAGGGCTTTCAACGTTTATTAGAAACTCTATAGATTAATTATTGGGGATAAGATAAGTCATTTTTGACTGAACCTGTATAATTCTTGGTGTTCTTATTCTTCACTTAACTCTTTTAAATTCCCACAATTTATTTTCTACATTTTATTTATCGCTGCTAAGTTTTCAAAAATTGTTTTCTAACTCTGATTTTATTTCCAAACCATACAATTCACCCCCCTCTTGTGTGTTAAATATCAAGACCAACATGATCTTTTCTGCCCATATAGGCAGTCAATTCACTGGACCATCAAGTGGGATCCATGGCGCCCATAGAGGCGATAAATTCGATGGATCCTAAAGTGGGATCCTTCCACTCATAGAGGTAATCAATTTATTGGATCCTAAAGTGGGATCCTTGTCAAATAAAGGTGAACAATTTGTTGGATCCTTAAGTGGGACTGTAATACGGTGGGAGAACTGACTTGGTTGTTTTGCATTTTGTCGCAATTGTTGCGGATAGCAAGAATCGCCACCGACTTTTCTTTTATCCAT